GTGAGCACCCCATGCCAAAGTGCAAAAAGTTTTCTCGAGAAGTGAATATCTTGTTTCATAGTCGGTAAACTTTTTGCTAAGGTAGTATATTGCATGCTCTTTTCGACCAGACTCGTCATGTTGGCCCAACACATACCCCATTGAATTCTCTAATACATTCAAGTACATAATCAGAGGTCTTCCTTCAATTAGAGGCATCGGGATTGGAGGTTCTTGTAAATACTCCTTGATCTTGTCAAAAGCTGCTTGGCAATCATCATTCCATCTGACTACTTGATCTTTCTTCAATAGTTTGAATATTGGCTCACAAGTAGCAGTCAAGTGAGATATGAATTGGGAAATATAGTTGAGTCGACCTAAGAAACATCTGACCTCCATCTCAGTACATGGCGCTAGCATTTCTTGTATGGCTTTGACTTTCACAGGATCAACATCAATACCTTTTCCACTGACGATGAACCCTAGGTGTTTTCCAGACCTCACCCCGAAGGTGCATTTATTAGGATTCATCCTCAAATTGTATTTCTTCAACCTTTCAAATAGCTTATGAAGATGATCAATGTGTTCTTTCTCAGATTTCGATCTTGCTATCATATCATCAACATAGACTTCTACCTCATGATGAATCATATCATGAAATAGAGCTACCATAGCTTGTTGATAGGTTACGCCTGCATTCTTCAAACAGAAAGGCATGACCTTATAGAAAAAGGTGCCCCACTATGTGGTAAAGGTTGTTTTCTCCATGTCCTCGGGCGCCATTTTGATTTGGTTGTAACCGGAGAAGCCATCCATGAAGGAGAACACTTTATGTTGAGCAGTGTTTTCAACCAAGACATCGATATGCAGTAGTGGGAAATTATCCTTGGGGCTTTCCCTATTCAAATCCATGTAGTCTACGCACATACAAAATTTTCCATCTTTCTTCGGCATTGGGACCATATTTGTAACCATTAGGGACATGACGTCACTGCCAGGAAACCTGCGTTGAATTGTTTCATTACCTCTGCTTTGATCTTCTCAGACATATCTGGCCATATGCGATAAACCTTTTGCTTGACCGAAGGACAAACTTCCTTTATTGAAAAACGATGAACTACAATATCAGTATAAAGCCCCGACATATCTTCATATGACCAATTTTGGATACTTTGTATCTTTTGTGATGTTGGGGTGGTGTTTGAGTAACTTCTTGTCAGATTTAGTCTCTGAGTAGCTGCTTTCTTTATCGATTTATTTATTTATTTATTTATTGATTTATTTTATATATATTGCATTGTACTTTTTCTACTCACCTATTTTGGATATGTTGTATCTTTTGTTATGTTGGGGTGGGTGATTTCATTTGACAAGTCTTATACTCAGGCTAAGCAATCTTAAGATTAGGATGGGCAGTATAGTCATGTTAACTCTGAAGGAGTAATCCCGAAGAAGGAGGCATGAGATCCTCCACTCAGAGGAGACCCCTTTTACTGTAGTATTTGTTTACCGAGTAATCAGGAAGACATTGCTGCTTTAGACCTGGGAGCCTGCGAATCTGAGAAGCCGTAGAACCCTCAACCAATCTTGGCCTTTTTAGGTGTAGTGCGGATACTATGACGGAGTAATCTGGAAGTAGTTGTCAGGCGATGCTTCACTCAGACAAGTTTTTCCTGCGAATATTACTAATTACCGAGGAATTGGGGCATTGGTAATATCCAAAGGAAGAGCATAGACTCTTGGATTTCACTAGAACCTTGTTTGGCAGGTGATAAACCCTTAGTACATACCTTATGGGTGGTTACCTTGACTCCATGCTCATGAAGTCGGACCTTTGATCCTTTTACTTTCAGTTTATGCAAAGGACTATACAGTGGTTATCCAGAATATGTGGAGTAGGGATCCCATGCCACGACATACCATTACATAATACCATCATGTGTATGCATCTCATTCTAAGGAATTCCAAAGACAAGTCTTGTTGGTTGAGCTCTTCAAAAATAAAATTGTTAAAAGATACTATAAAATGTTTCTTTACCAAATTTTAGAATTTTTTAAAATGAGAAGAATTAAATATGGATTTTTTAAATTTCAAAAGATATTGATAAAAGTAATGAAAATCTCGACTTAGAAATCAAATTTTGAGTTTCTTTTTTCCCAGGAACTTTTTATAATGTTCTAAACATGTGTGTAAAATAATCATTCAAAAATACACATCGGTTTAACAGCAGGGACTAAAACTACACGCGTAATAATTTTATAGGGACTAAAACATGTCATGTTTTTTTATAGGGACGAAAAACAAAAATTGGTAATTTATAGAGACCAAAAACATATTTAATCCTATTTAATATTTAAGTATTTTCACATTGTCTTCCTTTGTAGTAATCTCCTTGAGTCAGAGGCTTCTGATGGAATATGGTAAAGCTTGATCATATTCCAAAGTTACTAACTTTCCTCACTCCTAAATATTTGAATCTGAGGCTTTTGATAGAATTAGATGAAGCTTGATCAGAGTAAGTCTTCGGTGCTTGAGAAACGTGGAGTCTTCAAATTCTTAAGATATCATAGTCGATCAGGATAATCTTCTTTCAATAGATGACTTGATACTTGTAGAAGCATATTTGTTGTTGCAAACACGTATTTGTTTTTCTTCATCGGTTCAGAGTTCATTTTCTTGCCTAGAGTCTCATAGATTCTTTGATCAGAGTCCAAAACTTCATCAATCTAAATTCCACAACGTGAATGCTCAGCATCCAGAACATCACTTTAAATCTGCACAATTTAACAATCTGTTAGAAGACAAAATTGTTCTTCATACAAATGTACTTGTTATCATCAAAATTTCTGGGATTAGTTGACAAACCAAACTTGTTCCAACAAACCCTGCTATTAAATTCAAATGGCATATCAGTCTTAGATACAAACTATTATAATTCTAAAACTTTTAACTTACGGTTGTCACTGACTTGGACGTTTGAGTGTTTGCAAATACCCCTTACTATCGGGCCTGAGAAAAGAACTCCATTATCCTGGACATAGTTTGCCTACAAAAATAGTCCATTATGTTTGCGTGAATAAAGAATGTCTATTCTAAACCAGAATCAATTCATGATGTTCATTTGTGGCAATTGTGACTCATCCTTTATTAGGTATGTTATGAGCAAGTATAACACAAAATATTTAAAATAGGATAAATGATTTCATCATCTAACCATTTTACAATTTCATTCTTCATTACTTATTTCATGACAAGATTCATCCTCCTTTGGCCTTCAATTTTATCCATGTAATTTCCTCAAGTAAATCCTATGCATACATAATATTAGGGTCGGCCTTAGGCCAGTGCAACTAGACCCATGATCCAGGGCCTCAAAATATTAGAGGCCTCAAAATCGAAAGAAGGGTTAAAATATTATAATAGTTAAAATAATATAAACAATATTTGTTATGATACTAACAACTAAAGTTTTATGGCTGCATAGTTAAGTTGTCCACTAGTGGCCAAGACTTTGCGACTTTGATCTTTGTTTCCACACATTTTTAAAGTTTGATTTTAGGGTTAATACCTATTTAACCCTGCCATATGGGTCCTTTTCGACCCCCCCCCCCTAAAAAAGTCATATGGATTCCCCTAACATTTGGAAAAAGTCCCTCTTAAAACCTTTGACAGGCCAAGTCACCAAAAATGCTGATGTGTCAATGTTTTTTTAGATTTTTTAATTATTTTTTATTTCCATATGTGTGTAGTCACTTTTACTTGGACAATTATAATCTTAGGTTAGAAACAAATCCTAATCCCAAAAAATATTCACTTAGTCACATTTCCATTAGGCCATCGTGGTTATACCTAATCCCTAAATCTTCATAACCGAAAATTTTGATAATGTATGTTCAAATGTCATTTATGGTATGAAACATATACTTAAAAACAAGGTTCGTTGATTCATCCATCTGGTTCGCATTGTTGTGAAGGTAACCAGTTGCGACTTGTTGGAGTGACAAAGATAAGTCTCTTGTTATACTAAAAAAGGTACGATTTTCAATAACTTTAGTGGTCCAGGTGCTTGAAATCTTAAATTTACTTGGTCCCACCTTAAAATCTCTAAAATTTACACTTTCAATACTTCCTACTAGGATTTGTAACCGAATTTGAAACAAACAACTTCACGGGGAGATTATGACCACACTTAGGAGTTCTTCGGCCGTTTGAATCTATGTTTGACTATGAACAACCAGACATCACTATGCCAGAAATAACCTACGAAAGCGCTTTTTTTGGGCTTTAAAAGCGCTTAAAAGCGCTCTCGTAGGTGGCGCTGCTAAAGGTTTTAGCAGCGCTTTTTGTTCAGAAAAAAGCGCTCTCGTAGGCCTACCTATGAAAGCGCTTTTTGGTAAAAAGCGCTTTCATAGGTAGGCCTACGAGAGCGCTTTTTTCTGAAAAAGCGCTTTCATAGGTGTATTCAGAATGCGTGTCAGGCAATCTAAAGTAGGCCTATAAGAGCGCTTTTTGTTCAGAAAAAAGCGCTCTCGTAGGCCTACCTATGAAAGCGCTTTTAATCAAAAAGCGCTTTCATAGGTAGGCCTACGAGAGCGCTTTTTTCTTAAAAGCGCTTTCATAGGTTTTCTACTGAAAAATCTAAAATTTAAAAAATTTCTAAACCTGCATTTTTTTGCAGCAAACCTGTAATTCTTAAACCGGTATTTTACAATCTAATCTAGAAATACCAATATATATTAGTTTTAATCCAAATACCAAATGTAATTCAAATACCAAATATTATATATATATACAAATACCATTATAATCAATTCATATCCAAAATATATATACACCATGGTAATTCAATATTAACATGTTTTTAAACGTAACAAAATACACCCTAACTAATCAGCTATATAACACTAAGTAAATCAATCCTACTCTACATATATATCCAAGGTCCTGATCCTACAATATGAACATAATAACACGGTCAGTGTTGTATACACAAAACAATATATTCATAATTAACCAATTTTCACACAACAATGTGTCTGATGGGACTTCCAGACGCAACTGGAGAAGCAGAGTTTGCCATCGGATTTCCTGGATAAGACAATCCAACCCCATATGCTGGATTTCCATAATAACCATGGTGATTGGATTTTGCTGATTTACCACCCAGTGGTACATTGTATTGTGACTTCTGAGGCGAGAGGACAGACCCAAGGTAAGCTTTCTGAAGCTCGAGTAAATTCATGTATGAATTGCCCAAGTAGTTCCTGTCCACAGAGGGGTCATTAAGAGCAGCAAGTTGTGCTGCAGCATATTCAGATGTCCTCATGTACTGAAGATACATCGGATCAACATACGGAGCCTGAAGACCGCCCCCTGCAATTTGGTTTCCCATCCGACCAAGGCTATGCACATCAGAAGGAGAACCAGCTCCAGAAGCCAAACCAACTCCAAGAAATCTCGAGTCCATTCCTGGGGATGCCATTGCTGATGCTGCAACAACATTTTCAAACAAGGGTGGCAAATTACTGGTGCCATATTGGTTAGTCATCAAGGATGTCAAAGCGGGATTTCCGGCATAACCACTTACGCCATAGTTAGTAAATGACAAATTCATACCATCAATACCCTGGTACTGAGCAGGCAAATTACCTCCTACGCTAAAATGGGAGGTAGGCGATCCTTTGAAATACGAGTTATTTGAAGGAGCAGATGAGTTTTGCAGATCAACCTGCCGATGCAGAGATAGATTAGTGAGATCCGATCCACTCCTGCTCTTAACTGAATTCTGCAAATGCCCTGATTCAAATTTTTTTAGATATGCATGTTGCTTTGCATATTCTTGACCACCCTGCATACCGCCAAAAAGGTATCTCTGATGATTATCAACGTCTGATTCAACTTGTGATGGCAGATGGTTTTCATCACCTGCTGACAAGTTCATCCCTGACAATGCAGCCACAAGATCTGTTGACTCATTCTTGTCGGATGAAACACCGTTAAACGCATCTGAACTAATAATACCTCTCTTGTCCGAAGCACCACTTCTCCCTCCACCAATAGGTGTGAGGCATGGACTAGGAGCCCTTGCAACATGTTGTGGATCAGGAGTAGTGCTTCTTGACAGTGAAGACCCTCCTAGAGCAGCAGCATAAGAATATGAAGTTGGTAGACCAATATTTTGTGTTGCAGATGATCCTTGAACGTGAGTCAACTCTGCTTCAGAAGTATTTAAGACATCAACATTTTCATCAAATGCATTACGACTTGCTGGACGAGAAGGAAGGCCTGTGGACGAGAAGGAAGGCCTCTGCTCCATATCATCCTACAAAATTAATGCTCAACAACTACTGGTAGAATAACAAAGCAAGTATATGCTAAATTCACTAGCAAAATGCCAAACTAAGATGATAACAAGTAAATGTATATAGATATTGTGACAAGATGTCTAGGAATTTCATTTTTCAAAAAGATAGAGAGAAATACATATTTATAAAGGGATACAAAGGATACACTTAGATACTAGTTACCCACAATAACGGAAAATTTTAATTTGGATAAAAGTGTAACTGAAAATATAGATTAACAAATCAAAAATCAACATATAGATGCCAATTTCCAAAGGTAATTGAAAATTTAAATTCAAATATAGATGAATAACCAACAGGTAAATAAAATATCAAATAGAAAGGCTAAACAGTGCCAGTATTTTCGCAAGTGCATTAGAATGAAAACTTTAAAAATGCAAAAAGAAATTAAGAATAATCTTAATATATGAGAATAATTGGATGCAAGGCCAATATAAACATATACTCTGCTTCAACACTGATAGGTATAAAAATGTGCCATACAAAAACTCATCAAAACTGCCGTAAGGTGTAAACCCCGCAAAAGCTAAAAAAGTATATGGCTTGAAAAAATATGAGTGCAAAATATTTTACTTGAATGCAAGAAAAATGAACTACATGAAGTGGGTAAACAATCATGAAACCAAGATTAGATACCACAGGAGAATCAATCATGAAGGAACATTAGTCAAAATATATGAAAAAATAAAAAAGATTCTGTAAAATTCATAAAATGTCATGCTGCCCATTATCATCACATTGAGCTAGAAGCCAAAAGCCACAGATTAATGGTGTCAGATACCATCTGATTAATCAAAATAATTGCAATCATTAATCAAAACTGCCAAAACAGGATCACACATCATAACATTAAAATCAAAACCTTCAAACAGATAGAATATTCAGAGTACAGACTACATTATTCAATTCAATAATCCAATGCTGCATTAAATAGAAAAAGCACAATTTTCCCAACAAAACAGTAACTGAACACCTGAAACACCTAAATCAGTTCTCAACCAAGCTTAACTTAACAACAGGAAGAAAAGAAACTGAGCTATTAACAAAGCTAAAAAAAAAGTTGATAACACACAAAAAGAGAAGCAGACTACCTGAAAAATCTCTGCAAGGCTCTTTTGCTTGTTCCTAAGCCCTAAGCCAGGTAAACCAATAAGACCATCGCCACCCCATTCAGCCGAGCCTCTTGGTTTTTCAGCATCCACCTCACTCCTTTCTTGCTTCCTAAAGTTAAAACCCGGCGGCGTCGAAAACATTGCCCTACCACCATTATCATCACTCATATTACCTTTCCTCCTATCTCCAATTCCACCTACACCCGAGCTTCCACCTTTTAGTCTTTGCTGAAACCTCCAATCCTCTTTCGACAACAACGGAGGTGGAAGCCTAGGATTCAAATTCACATTCGAATAATAATACGAAAGATAAGCTGGATCCGACCTAAGCTCTTCCTCCGAAACAACTCCATTGACATCCTTACTCCCAGCAAAATCCGAAAAACCAGCTGCACCACTTCCACCACCACCAACACCCCCGCCAAACAATCCTCCAACTGCACTCAAAGATCCTTCCACAGTAGGTGGAGCTGATCCACTCCTATATATATTAAGCTCCCGTTCGCGATCACGATCATCGCCTTCTTGTCGCCCGCCCTCTTATCGCCGTTGGTCACGAAGCAACATCCCTATTTCTTTCTCCAATTTATCACTGTGATCGGTGGATCTGGAACTGACTGTTTAACGCTGGTTCGTGAAATGTCGCGGAAGCAAGAGTCGCCACCGTATTTTATTTTCTCCAAATGGAAAGGACAAAAGCACAGAAAAATTCCTTATTGAGATTAGTTCTCGGTTCGAGAGGTAGATTTATAGAAAGGGAAGGTGTTAGCACCCTTTCTATCCATGGTTATCCATGGGCTCTTAGATACTTGCTCATTTGTGTTTTCAAAAATGTTTGTTTGCTTTTTAGAGTGGGTTTGAAAAAGTTTCTTCGAAAGTTTCAGATCGACTCTTGTATCAGTCCTCAAGAGTGTTTGAAAAGTTGTTTTTGAAAGCTTTTTGCAAAGTGTCGGTGTGAAAAGAAGTTTTTGATTTGTTTTGAATTAGAGCAAGTATCTACGAGTCATCTACCTACCCTAAGGAATTCGTCTGTGTAAATGTCCTTAAAGTAGTGCCATCCCACCATTGAGAGGTAGGTAGCACCACCGTTGGAGGTGTTCGGGTCAATTCGAGGTTTAGGGACAGTGTGGTCACCAGAGCAATAGGAAGACACCTTAGAAGCTACCCTCATGCCATGTTCATGGACATGAGGACTTACTAAAACATCCTCTACTCGACGACCACGTTTCGAGGGGCAAGGCAACAGTGAGGCGTACCCTAGGAGTGGTGTGTGATTTGTGTGTCATTTTCAATTATGTTTATCTTGTTCATGCATTGGTGATCTACGTTTTGATTTTATTTTTGGAATTCATTCTTTCATGTGGTTATTAACAGTTAAAAGGTGCGGGAAGATAAAGTCCTACGCTATTACAAAGGCGCGGGTCTACATCGCCAAATTAAACCAAGACCCGATTTGAATAAATAAAATGCGGAAAATAAATACCCTAATTAATCTATTACAAGGCTTTGGGGAAATTACATGAAATTTAAAAAAGGGGAAATAAAAGTAAATGTGCGAAAAGAAATAAAATCGAGAATGCGAGGGCGTTGGACCCTTTTAGAGAAATTAAATCGAAATCGTAAATTAATTAAATTAAATAAAAGCAAGAACTTATTTTCTTTGGAGTTTTTGTATTTATGGAATTTAATGAGAAAATTAAATGGAATTAAAACCCTAATTCTAAACTATTTTTAATTTGTTCAAAAAAATGTTTAAGTTTGACCTAGTTTTAACCTAATTATTTAATGACAAATTATTTATAAAATAATTACGAATAATAATAATGATTATAAGGAAATAAATCATTTATTAAGAAAAAGAAGAAAAATATTAAAACCCTAATCTCTAAACTTTTTAGTTTATTTAAAAAAAATTAGAATTAAACCTAAAATTAAAACTAAGTTAATTATTAAATTTATTTACAAAATAAAATATTAGTGAACTAAATAATAAAATATATTTTTATTTTTTGACTTTTTGACTTTTTTGTATTTTTATATTATTAAAAAAAATTAATTTGGAATTAAACAAAACAAATAATATAATTAAAATAAATAATAGAAAAGAATAAAAATAGAGAAAAGAAAAGCAAACATGGGGGGTGGTTGTGCCTTTTGGAGGTATTTTCCAAGCAATTTTGGCCCACTGAATCAGGCCTGGTTGACCTTTCTGGCGCGTATGTGGAGGTGTTGACTGGTGCACATGGTGATCTACAACTTCTGACCATTGGATTGGTCTTGTTGGGCGCGTGGCAAGCAAAAACATGAAGCTGCATGGTAGGCCCTGGGGCATGTACTGCATGGAATCATGTTAAAACAAAATATATTGAGAAATATGGGGGACCTGGGAATCGAACCCAGGTCCCAATGCTTGAAGGACACCTCACTTTCCACCCAGCCAAATGCGTTCGTTTGATATTCAATGGGAAGGAATTATTATGAAAGAGAAATAAGAGTTAGTGGTGGAAAACGAAAATACGCGCGAAAGGTTTGAATGAGCCAATCACATGATGACAACCAGCCTTCTTCTTTGTTGGTTCGTTTTTTCCTGAGAAATATATAATGGATAGCGGGGGTTTTAAACCCCCACTAACTTCAACCTGCAAGAATAACGATTAGGCCATACGCAAACATAAAAAGGGCGCGACTAGTGGGATTGAATCGTCCAGATGCCCTGAGTTCAATAGTCTTGGTCTCGTTGCCTAATTTTTCCTTATGAGAGAAACCCCCTTTTAGAGTTCCTGAAACCCTAAGAGACATTCATTGTAACTTTCTATTCAGACAACCATTCTCCAATTGAATCACGCCATTAGCTTTAGAATCATCACATTAGTATAGATCAAACATTAAAATGCATGAAAAATATGTATAAATTCAAATACGAATATGCAATATATCAAGAACAGGGCGGCTTCATTCTACCGATTCTTGAGGTTAGAGGATATGGTTTTGATTGGAATAGATCCCTGGTAACCTTAGCAAGCTTGTGGGATCGTTCTTTTGCCTTGAAACACCCTGCAATACAGTTTACAGTTTTGAAATTTTTAGTGAAAAATGCAAAGTTTGTTTGTGATTCTGAGCGCAGCTTCTTCGTTCCTTTGATTAGGTTTGCATTGTGTTTATATGTGTGACTGAATTAGGGTAGAAATCCAAGTCAAAAACCTTTGCATTCATGAATCAAATATTTGGTTTTCAATGTAATCTTTTTCAATCTTTTTCATGCCCTTTTGATACCAATCATTGCCAAATCTTTCCATATTGAGTGTGCACGAAATATTTAGGCTTCATTGAGAGAATATGCTGCAAAAAAGGATTGGAAACCATGATTTTCTATTTTTGTCATATTTTATTTTAATTAAATGAACTAACAATAATAATAATTCAAATAATTAATAAAAAATGATAAAATAACTCCCTTTAAAGTCAATGGGTCGTGCATAGCTTTTGGGTGATGATTCTTGGAAGAAATTGAGGCCCATTAGCAATTTTGAGGCATTTGAAGCAAAGTTGACTTTTCAAAATTCCCAAACATTTCCCAACTTCCACAAGGCATATCTTGCTCAATATTTAAGATTTGATCATGTTCTTGGACATTTTGGAAAGGTCTTGAAGTCCTCTAACCAATGCCTTTGGTCCCATGTCATTTTGATTTACCAATATCAAGTTATGGTCTTTGACTTAAAGTGCCTTTTTGTTGACTTTTGAAAATGACCTATAATGTTAAAATTGATAACTTTTTGTGAGAGCATTTCTTGGACTTGAAGTGTGAAGATGAGTTGTAGGAAATGTCATTCTCTTAAAAATGAGCTTTGTATGGAATTTTTATGATAAACCATGTGGAAGTTATGCCTTGGTCAAGTTACAGTTGACTTTTTCAACTGTCCAAATATGGAAACTTTTGCATCTTGAGACTTTTTGAGCCATGCTTTGAGAATCATGATCAAGAATTGATCAAATGATGTTTGTGGCTTCAAAATAAGATGTTGACCAAAAATTTGAACTTTTGACTGTCAAATGACCATTTTACCCCTACAGTTGACTGCTGAGCAATTAGGGTTTTTGACTGTGCAATCTTGTGTTGTCAATCTTGAAACTTGGCATGAGGATGCTTGACAATGCATGTAGGCATGTGGGACTTGATTGGACCCTTGGAAACTTCAATTTCTTTGACAGAACCAAAACCCTAATTTTGACTGTTAGGAGGCAATTGGACTGTGCAACCCTTGGGAGATTTTTGAAGCATGCTCTTAGCAAATCTTGAAGAATATGGGAGGGCAAATTTTAGGGTACAACAGTTGCCCCTGTTCAATCTTCTTAAACCTGAGGATGTAGATTGGCTGACGTGTCTTTCGTAATCCGAAGGTGGAAGATGATTGAACACTAGAGTGCCTAGAAATTTGCGCTCACATAGTAATGTGATGGTGGGAATGGGCTTACAGATGCCATTTGGAGATTAGTGGATAGGAAGATGGGCTTATAGATGCCATGCTGAGAGGTGATGGATAGGTGGATGGGCTTATAGATGCCATCTGGGTGTCGATCGCGTAAGAGATTCCTTAGCGAGAACTTGCGTACCAGAAAAAGATGATTACCTGGCCTATTACAGGAGCTGGTCTTCAAACTCTTTGTGTAGATGTGCCCTGACTGGTTACAGGAATTGAATCTGGAGCTTCAAAAGGTGATGAATGAACCAGGGATGGTTACTACCTCAACGGGACGATGAGAGAACCTTGGACGATTACTACCTCAACAGTAACGATGAGAGAATCTGGGGCGATTACTACCTCTACAGTAACGGGGAGAGAATCATAGGCGACTTCAACCTCAACAGTAACGATGAGAGAATCTTGGGCGACTTCGACCTCAACAGTAACGATGAGAGAATCATAGGCGATTACTACCTCAACAGTAACGCTGAGAGAATCTTGGATGTCTTCTACTGGGATAAGAATCAGGGAGATCTTAGGGTCGATCTGACTGAACCGGAGAAGGCCTTTGACTGGATAAGAATCAGGAAAATCTTAGGGTCGATTTAACTGAACCGGGCAAGGTCTTGGAATATCTTCAACTGGATAAGAATCAGGGAGATCTTAGGGTCGATCTGACTGAACCAGAGAAGGCCTTGACTGGATAAGAATCAGGAAAATCTTAGGGTCGATTTAACTGAACCAGGCAAGGTCTTGGAATATCTTCAACTGGATAAGAATCAGGGAGATCTTGGGGTCGATCTGACTGAACCAGAGAAGGCCTTGACTGGATAAGAATCAGGAAAATCTTAGGGTCGATTTAACTGAACCGGGCAAGGTCTTGGAATATCTTCAACTGGATAAGAATCAGGGAGATCTTGGGGTCGATCTGACTGAACCAGAGAAGGCCTTTGACTGGATAAGAATCAGGAAAATCTTAGGGTCGATTTAACTGAACCGGACAAGGTCTTGGAATCTTCAACTGGATAAGAATCAGGGAGATCTTGGGGTCGATCTGACTGAACCAGAGAAGGCCTTTGACTGGATAAGATGGTAAGACCATAGAAAAGGTCCAAGGGGTAAGTTTTACATAAGAAAAATTTGGGTTTTAGAATGCTCATTTTGTGTGATTGTGAAAAGAGTTGGAAGAACGCAGCAAAGCTAGGGCAGGAAGAGAACAAGGGGATTTTTGGATAGAGCACAAAGAATAAGATCAAATTTATAATCTAAGGTAAGGGGAGTTTGTCGTTATCATTATAATCGATAGAAGGTTTAGATGATTGTAGGTTGTTTGTATTGGGGTTTTGGTTGA